CTCTCAGAACTACAATTAAGTAATGGGACACAGGACTCAGCTCAGCCCCTCACCCTCCCACAGTTCAGCACCCTGCTCTGAAATGCTCTTTACTTGCATCACTTGCTAAAATACACTTCTTGTTAAAGAAAAAAAAACAAAACAAAGACACAACAAAGCCAGCACAGCCCCTACCTGTGATGTTGTTGACTATCCTGCAGTCTCCTGTCTCGCAGCACTTGCCAAAGCTGCAGTACCAGGCAGAGAGGATCTCCAGGTAATCCTGGCCCACCAGAGGTAAGCTCCAGCCTGGAAAAGGCAGCAGGGTCTGAGCAGAGGTGTTCCAGCAAGTGGCCAGAGTAGTGGCTTTTGAGCAGACACCCAGCTGAACCCTGGTAAGGGCAGCCTCTCCCAGGCGCAGGGGCTCAGCCCTGGCTGTGGGGAGGGACAATCAGCTCGGAACAGGCTGGTTCGAGCTGGCACCGAGAGCTCAACGGGTGCAAGACGTGATTGTGGCAACGCAGGGTATGCAGAGGAGAGAGATACCCAGGGCAGGGACCCTCGAGAAGGGAAAGGCAGCACCACAGGAGTTGGGGGCACAGAGCCCTGTGCTGGGGGTAGCAGGGTGTTCAAACCTGGTACTCACTCTGGGGCACGGGAGAGGGGGAGAAGGGAGGAAGGTGCTTACCTGGGCTGGGAGCAGGCTCTCTTTTTTCCTCCTTCTCCTCGCAGCCCTCCTGCCACACCTTGCACGCCAGGTACTGCCAATACTGCTTGGAGAGGGCACTCACGGCTCCCAGGTGCTTCTTCACGGCCTCGTAGCCCTCGTAGCTCGCCCTGCCCGGCAGAGCCCGCTCCCCGGCGGGTCCCTGCCCCTCTGCCCGTGCCCGCCGCGGCTCTGGCGGGGCCCGCGGGCTGCCCGAGCCCCCCAGCAGCAGCGCCAGCAGCATCAGGACACAGCAGCCCAGCCCCAGCCGGGCCGGGGGCCCGTCCTGGGCCATGGCCATGGCTCGGGGGTCCCGGGGAAGGGAGCTGACCCTGCCCGGCCCTGCGGGGTCTGTCCGCGGCCTCCCAACCTCCCTCCAGCCGTGAGCTCACTTCCCGGCCGCCCCACAGGGCGGGGCTGCCCGAACGCGGCGGGGCGGCCTCAGCACGGCCCGGCCCCGGCACGGCACAAACCCGGCAAGGCTCGGGGACAGCCCCAAACCCGGCAAGGCTCGGGGACAGCCCCAAACCCGGCCCGGCCCCGGGACAGCCCCAAACCCGGCCCGGCCCCGGGACAGCCCCAAACCCAGCAAGGGTCCGGGATAGCCCTAAACCCGGCCCGGCCGGAGCCACCGGCACCCTCCGGTCCCGGCTCCGCACCAGGGTCGGACTCCGGCCAACCCTGGCCGGGAGGGGAGGGAGCTGCAGAGATGCCCAGGGAAGCTCCCCGACACCGCTACCGGCCTGATTTCACCGAGTATCTGTTTCTGATTGCACAGAATATTCCGAGTTGGAAGGGACCCCACAGGGACCATCGAGTTCGACTCAGCCCGCTCCCACAGAGCTGCAGCACGGGCAGTAAGTGCCTGAGGAAGGCAAATAATCTGGTTTTTTTGAGTAGCCCAAGGGCTCGGCTGAAGTTTTGCTGCCACAGACAGACCGCAAGAGACAGCGGTACTTGTTCATTAGGGCCATTTCCAAGGGGATCCCAAAAGAACGGGCACAAACGATGGAGCAGGAGGCAGTGGCTGAGCCAGCCTGGCAGCACAGGACTGCATTGGGCTATCCAGGCTGGATTGTTCCTGCTGGGCTCCAGGTTCTGCTCAGGAATTAGATCAGAGCTCTGGGACAGGTACAACTCACAGCCACCACCAAGCTCATCACCAACATCCCCGTTTGTTCCTCCCACTTTCTCCAAACGTTTGAAAACCCCATCCTACACAGGGAAGGAGAACGGCAGTCCTTGGGGATGACTGGGGATCCTGGAATCCCATGCAATCCCTGGCTCTCATTTTGGAAGTGTGTACATACACACAACACACACACTTGGCTGTGGGGGGAAGATAAAAAGTGGATAAAGCCCATATAACTTGAATTTTACCTTAAGCTGTACCCACAGCTGGCTTACTGTAAGAGACTGAGGCCTCCACAATTACTGAGCAGCAGGACAAGGTCACCCACGGCTTATCCTAACTGAGACAAAGCCAGGATGCTCTGGAAGTGGAAAGGATTTCAAGGGTATTCCACATGCTCAGAAAAATAAAAATAAGAGGGATAATAAATGCGATTCTTCCAGCCTGGAAATTCCCTGGCACCGGTGAATGGGAAGGGGGATACAGCCCAGGCATGGACTGCATCACCATCTACAGGTGGCTGCAAATATTACACAGTGGCATTAAAAATACTGGGATTAACAAAGTTGCCCCCTCCAGCTTCAAAAATAGGCTAAAATCTGAGTACCAGTTGCAATAACTTAAACAGAACTAAAACCAGTGCAGCAGATTAACAAAAAAAAAAAAATTAAAAATCAAACTCGCTGTAGCCATAGCAAATTAAACTGCTGTCAGCTCCTGAAAACTAGTTGAAGCACCTGAAGAATTTCTGTACATTTATAAAAAAAATCATAGCTGTAACATTCAAACTCTGACCTCCCAGGGTAAGTGCTTTAGCTGAAGAGAGCTCATCAAAAAAGAAAATTAGGAAAGAGAAACTGACTGTCCAACACTGCTCCAGCTCCACAGTGCCAGGGAATGATTCCTGGGATGTCAGCCTGGCCCAAGTGCTGCACATTGTTCTAGAAGGGAAAATAAAACCAGTTGTTTAATAGGCCCTGGCACAGGTTGCCCAGAGAAGCTGTGGCTGCCCCATCCCTGGAAGTGTCCAAGGCCAGGTTGGATGGGGCTTGGAGCAACCTGGGATTGTGGAAGGTGGGGGATGGAACAAGATGAGCTTTAAATCATTCCAAGAGTCCGTGATCCTGACTACTCCCTGTCTGACCTGCCCCTGCAGGTAACAAAGCACTGAAGGGTTGTGGGGGCAGAAATTGCCCTCCTTGAGTAATTCAATTCCCTTTGTGGGGCCTCAGGGAAGAAATTATCCCCCTATTAGAAGGGATGCTGCAGGAGTCTGCAGGAGATCCCAGAGCACTGTGCTGAGGAGAACTCGCTCCCACCTGCCTTGGGAAGGACGGGGTTAGGAAGCACCTGGGTTTTTTGGATCCTCTGCTGAAACCCTCACTGTAGTACCTGCTCATCTTCAGCTGAGTCTGGCAGAAGAAGCCAGAAGCTGCAGGGACCTGCCTGTCCCCAGAGATGATCGAAGGATGAGCTTGTCACTGGTTATGAGCTGGTTATTTGTCAGTCAGTCCTGGTGATCAGCAACCACCTGGTTAAAACTCCACCATCTCAGGTCAGCTCAGCTCTTACAGCACAGCTGCCATCTACAAAGAAAGAGAAAAACAGCACCACCAAAATGTGGTAATGCCTGGCTTATTCCACCCCCCAGTGCAGCTCGGGATAGGCAAACACTCAGAGGGAACCTTGCACTCCAGGAGTTTATACACAGGCTGTATCCACTGCCCAGGGAAATGTCATGCACCCATCTTTTCAGGCTTTTTCCAATCTCCATACAGCAATTCCTTCTGCAGATCCATAGCTGCACTCTGACAGGAGGAGAAGAGGCTCTCTCCAGAGCTCAATATAACAGCTGTGGATTAGATCACTAAATAAAAAAAAAAAGATCTGGAATAAAGGATATGAGGGGAGTCCTTTCCCCTCCTTTATTTTTTTCCCCACGAAGTCCTAGCCCCAGTCTCTTAAAAATTTTGACTCTACAAAGAAAGAACAGGTCACCAGTCCCACACTTGGGATATATGAACTAAAGACTTCATTTCTAATTTTTGGATTCAATAAAAAACCTTTAGGGAAAGAATTTGAGAAGTTCAGGGAAAGTGCTTATTTTCAACCCCCTTTGGTTCTCCATTGGCTCAAAGTTGTTTGTGTTCATTCTTCTGTAAAATTGCATTCGTTACATAACCAGAAACACTTTAAAATCTCCCAGTTAAAGGAATTCTCACCCTGTTACTAAGGCCAACCACTCCAAAAATACATAACAGCACAACAAAGTGCTTGGAACAACAGCTCTGCAAAGTGGTGATTTTAGCCTGTCAGAACTTAAAAGCATCTGTAGCTCTTGAACTGCTCAAGCACAAGCAAAAATCCTGTCCCACTCCCAGAGCAAACCCCCAGAGCACCCCAAAAACAGGGATGGAGGATAGGAAAAGTCATTGCCAACACACAGTGCTAGGAAACAAAGGAACTCCAGAACATCTTCCCCCACAAGACCCCACAAATAAACACCAACAGAATTCAGCAATGCTGAAGTCCGAAGTTTCAACTGAGAAACTCTAGTTTAAAGAAAAGCAGGTTCCACACAACCATGTTGATGCTACAGGGCAGGTCAAAGACCCCCCGACATCCACAACTGCATCACCTCCTGCCTCCCACTCACTAGTGGGGTACTGAGAAAACAAGTTCTGACACAGCCTGAGTAAACCTCTGCTCTCAGTGGGAGCAGATTTTGGGGGCTGTTTACCTGCTCTGTCTCAATAAAAGCTCAGGAAAACCAACCATGAGCACCCGCCAACTCTGCAAACACCTCCTGCCAACTCCAAATCCATCCCTTGCTCCACGTAACAAAGCCAAGCTGTTGGGACACAGCCAAGGATTCGGTCCAGGTGCTTGGCAGATGCAGGGCCATGGGATGCACTGTCAGAAAACCACTCCAACCTAGGTGTGTTTTTCTTCTTTATCCCTCGGGGACACTCTTCTTTCCTTCCCAATAAGGCTCTTGCAAACAACCTGCCTGTTTGACCCCGTTCTCGGCTATACACGACTGGAATAAAGCCCACTGACAACCATTAGCGAAGGAACAACTGGGAAACAGCAGCAGCAAAACACTTTAAACATTCAGCCCACATGTTGGAACAAGAGAGAGACAGACAGGGGAGGGAGAGAGGCTTAAACAATCCATCAATGTTGCTTTATTAAAATCTTTATTCACACAATGTTGCTTTATGTGGGATCTGACCCCGGGGGATACAAGTAGAAAGTCACGATAACGTTCTGTTTGCTCATTAGCAACCTCCATTTGTGCAGCAGCTCCCAGGGGCATCCTCTGACAGCTCCAAGAGGGGTGTCTGTTTTCCAGCATCTTGCTCCAGCTGCCGCAGCAAATAAATTACCTTCTTAATAAATTAGCATTTTTCAGTTGAAGTTTGTTTGGCAAGACACACTCCAGTTCATCAGCTGCTGGAAGAGGAGCCGGCTCGAGTGTCTCCCCCACCCCACGGCTGGCTCAGGGGGGAGGAGGTGAACAGCAGATGGCTGATGGCGCTCTCTCTTTAATTAGTTCTTGATTTCTGTGCTTCAGGCACTCTGGTATCACCCATCTCCACACCACTACCACCACCACTGTGTAACATATGGGGCCAGCGGATGACGAGCGCGCACAGCGAACAAGGATCAGAAGGTGTCACGAAAACCTCACCGACAGAGCACAGCACCTGCCTCACAAACCATGTTATTTTTCAGGGATTCAAGCAGACCCTGCTGGCACGTGGCTGCTGCTCCTCATTTCCCTTCCAATGGTTACAGTTTAGAATTTCTCAGGGTTCTGCAAAAGGGCAGAAATTATCGCAAGGTCAAAATCACATCTTCCCGATTTTGGCTAAGAGAGGAATTTATTCTCCTTTCCTGCTGCAGAACACCAACCTCCAGTGGTGTTACAGCAACCAGAAGCATCAGTATCACAAAGGAAAAAGCAAACCCAAAAAACCCAACCATTTCTTGCTTCCTCTTACTGACGATGCCGGACTTCACGCCCTTTGTTCACAAGTAAACCAAAATAAACCAATACCCTGCTTTAAATCTTTGACATTCATAGTGGGGAAAAACTTATCCCCGTGTTCCATTGACAGCAAAAGTTTCAGCCTAGAGCAATATGTAAGTTGTCAACAAATTTGATCTCAGAGACAGAAAAGACCTTTTTTTGAATCCAGTATTAAATCAAATGTAAATATCAAGAGTGATCACATGGAAATCAAAACATCAAATTTTGGTAGATCCTTCCCAAAATACCAGGAGCTCATGATTAAGCTCAAAGAGAAGAACAAGCTTTTAGAAATGCTACGAGCCACCACCCTGTGCTTCACCATCTCCCCTTTGGGTAAAACATCTGGAATTTCCTGGGGAACAGCTGATGCCAGTGCTCGCTCCTGCCCCAGGGGCACCTCCACGGCTCCACCCACAGCTCCTGCAGCCTGTTCTGCTGTCAAGTACGGTGACAAACAGGCACAAGCTTCACACCAGTGTCCTCAAAGCTGGCTGTGCGTTACCAGCCTGACTAGTACCTCCGATAAATAACTCCAGATCCAAATATCTCCATCCCATCACCTCATCCCTCTGGGCAGGTCTGTGATGTGGCCAAGCCCAGAAGAGAGACAGAAGAACATAAAATTCAGTCCCAGGTAAACTGTCACGTTCTGCTTTCAAGATACTCTGCTCATGCAGGAAGAAAAACCAAACCTGCTCTTTTCAGATGAACTCTCTCCCTGACACTCTTGGATCAGGTGTGGCCCGGGTGCAAGAACAGGAAGCAGCTCCCTGCCCACCAGAGCTGGAGAGATCCTGACAGACAAATCAAGGAAACTGCCTTGAACTGACATTTTGCTGCCCTTGCTCCCAAGCCCAGCAATCCACAATCACTCTGGGAAGGGAGCTCTCTCCTTACATGAAGGGCCACTCTAGCTGAACTGAGCACCGACACAAAGATGTTCAATTTGAAAACAGTGACGAAGCTGCTTTCCCCCTGGAGGCACAGGATTCTATCCCAAGGGGACAAGTTTTATGGCCACAAGCTCATGGGCAGCACAGGCTGAAGTGCTGAAGGATGACAGGACCGGCACAAGATGGAAGTGCTGCAAGCCTGCCCTGGAAAGCCAACCTGCACCAACTCTTCCCCATCTACAGCAAAACCATCAGTCACACGGAGCAGCAGGAAGCTGTCTCAGATGAGATGGAGAAGAACAACCACAGCTCAGGGGTCTCTCCTCTCCAGGTCACTCCTGGTAACTCGGGAATCCCAGCAAACACCTCCTTCCTCAGCCCAACACGCCCAGAGGCCCCACAGAGCACAGGGCTCACAGTAAGCAGCACGGCCTTGCTGCACAGAACCTGCTTCCAAGGACAGAGCCTGAGCTCCTCCTCAGCTACAACAGAATGGAAGTTCGGTTTTTAATATGGACACAGGACTGCAAGGATATTTTCTCCCCTCAGACCTCGCCAGATTCCTTAAAAACCAGTGACAGGACACATGGAAACTTAGGATAACCCCTTAATTATCAAGTGCTGTGTAACCACCCTGTCCTCTCCTAAATCTCCAACCCTGTGGATAAATCTTTGATAGGACTTCAGCCAAAACACTGAAGCATTATCACATATGAGGCAAACCCCTTTCCCAGTCTTTTATCGAGGAAAAGCCAAGTGAGCAGCAGAGGTCCCCTCTCCCACCCTCATGGCATTTGGAAGAACATCCCACCCCCGGGGGGGTGGCACAACTCTTCAGTCTAGTAATTATTTTATTCACCCTTTCCTCGTTCTCTAGAGAAGCAGTAAAATGCCCAACCAGCTCACAGCTGATTGTGTACAACCCTGAATCAGACAAACTCGCCAGAGTACCCTGGGGGAAGAGAAGGGGAGAGGATTGGACTGTTCATCTCCGTTTGTCCCCTCTGGATTCAGTCCCCAAATTAGTGTCTGTATTCCACGCACTCCCACCAACACCAAGAGCCATTTTTATCCAGTGCAGTGCCCACTGCCGGCAATGGACACGCCCCCATGGCCAAGATACCGTTCCAGGTGCTGAGCCATCCAAGGGCCCAGCTCCCACCTCTCACTGCTGCCAGCCCACGGAAAAAGCCACGGTCACCTCCGTTCCTCTGGCTCGGGAGCCTTCCTGTTCATGTCAGTCCATCTTGGCCACAGCCCTTCTGAACTGATTGTGCTGTTTTTCTATCGCCTTTTTGTTTGTTTGTTTGTTTGTTTTTTTTAAAAAAAAAGAAGTTCCAGCTGCGTTCCGCTACAATTACAAGTGAGACAGAGTCATCCTGTCTTCCACCAGCACAACATCTGGGCCAAACTGGTCTGTGCACTGCTTCACTGTGGCCAGGATGCTGAGGAGCCGCTGGTCCAGGGCGTCCAGGTGCAGGTCGGAGAGCACAGGGGAGATGGGGTCATGCGACATGGCGGTTTTTAAGGCAGACCTCAGCACCCCGTTCTTCAGGTAATTGAGCCTGTTCCAGGTGGACACCCGGATGCTGCAAAAGAAACAAACACACCAACACATCACACCGCTGCCCAGCTGGGGTCCCGTCTGGAATAGCCAGGCCAGCCTCCTGAGGGAGGTTACGCAGGGTCTGAGCAAAACTTGGAAGGTGAAGGGGAATCAATCCCCTGTGACACAACTGATGGTACACAGGAACACCTCCGGTCCCGAGGCCTCCCAGATGCAGTTTGGAAAGGAAAGAAAAGGAAGGAAAAATCAACAGTCCGGCTGTTAATTCAACACAAACTCACGTGGCCTCAGGAGGAGCATCAGTGACCAACAATTAATCACAAAGGACAAAAGGCTGCTGATTGAACCTCTGAGGAAGTGAACACAGAAGTGATTCTTCCTCTTCACTGGCCACTGAACTTGTTTGTGTTGTTGTCATAACTCATCTCAACTGTCGTGTTCTGTGAAGTCTCTTGGGATTCTCCCCCAAATCCTTATGTTTTAGCACCACTGGTCCAAACTCTGGGTTTTGATGGTCTCTAATAACCCCAGCAACATAAGCAAGTGCTGCAACAAACCTACAGTAAAAGCAGTTATGCACATGAATCCTTACATAGCATTTGCCTGGTACCAGAAAGAAAGGGTACCTAAAAACCAGGAAACTGCAAAGTCTCTCACAGAGATCAACTTCTCTTCTGGTTGCATTTGGGGAAATTTAGATGACAGAGACTGCAAAAGATCCTCAAAAGAGCAGGAAATTAAACATTTGTTTCAAATTAATGGAGGGAAACTACAGAATCTGAAAATCAACTGTTCTCTCTATGGACTTTAAAAGACCCTGGCAGAACACAGGCCAGGTGTACTGCAGAGTGCACGGAATCTTAGTGGAATCTAAGTGGAATGTTTAGTGGAAGCAGGATAAGAGCTCAGGCTTTCTGAAAAGTTCCCAGATCTAACAGGCCCTGAGGAATGTGGGAGACAGAACCTTTCAAGGACAAGCTGAAGGAACTCTCACCGAAATGCTTAAGGAGTTAATGTTACCTTGAAGTATCAGAATCAGGAAATGGATGTATCAGTATTTTCTGTCCAGGAAATTTTCATAGAATCCTAGAATTGTTTGGGCTGCAAAGAACCTTCAAGGTCATCCTGTTCCACTCCCCTGCCACGGGCAGGGACACCTTCCACTAGCCCAGGTTGCTCCAAGCCCCATCTAACCTGGCCTTGGACACTTCCAGGGATCCAGGGGCAGCCACAGCTTCTCTGGGCAACCTGTGCCAGGGCCTGCCCACCCTCACAGGGAACAATTTCTTCCCAATATCCCATCTAATCCTGCCCTCTGGCAGTGGGAAGCCATTCCTCCTTGCCCTGTCACTCCAGGCCCTTGTCCATAGTCCCTCTCCAGCTCTCCTGGAGCCCCTCTGGGCACTGGAAGGGGCTCTCAGGTCTCCCTGGAGCCTTCTCCTCTCCAGGCTGAACACCCCCAGCTCTCCCAGCCCATTCCCACAGCAGAGAAGCTCCAGAGGAGCAGCAATGGCCTGGTGAGAGAGTGGACACAGAATGGAAATCAACAAATCACAGCCTCTAAAGATAAAACAAACCAACCCACAGCTCACAAGGCCAAAGCAGAACCAAAATCCTGCAAAGAAACTACAAACCTGGGTTGAAAGGAGCCCCCTGAGCAGGGCTGCCAGTCTGCTTTAGAAATCATTTTTTGGAAATGATTCAATTGCCAGACACGTTGAGTCCTTCGCTTCTGTCAGGGAGAGCTCAGAGTGGGATGTGAACTTTTATTTGTCAGGAGCTGGATGGGGACAGCTGCAGATGCAAAGTACCTGTCCCACTGCCTGTGGAAAGATCTGAACCGGTGACCTGGAGGTGAGACCACTTTGTGCAGCCAAACACCCACCGTAGTGCCCTCATGAAAATGCATTTCTCAGCTTCTTGGGCAGTGACAATACATCTCACACACAACACCTCAAACCAATAATGCAATGAGTATCCAAACAAACATTTTCAGGTTGCCAGAAGGCTTCAAACTTAACTATACTGCAAACCAACTGCATAAATAAAGTGAACAGCACCCCAGCATTCCACTTACATGCAGCACTGATAAAGAGGAGCCAAGATGCTTCTTTCATCCAGGGCAGGGTTTCCAAAGCTGAAAGGCAAAATTAAAGCCAAGTGAACCAGTTGAACTCCTAATGTTGTTCTCAACATCAAGAGCTTTGTAAAGAATTCGAAGAAATCAATACTAGGCAATTTCATGCTCCAAGAGATCAAATCATTTAAATTAAAGTACAAACAGGCCATGGCCAATCACAGACACAACTCTCAAAAGCATCAGCTGATGTACCAGGTAAACAGAAGGAGCACCAGCATACCCAGTTCTGTGTGAGACCAAGGCACCTTAGGAAGGAATTTCAGAGAGGTCTAGAAATGGAACTCATCCTGTGATTTAGGGGTAAGGAATAATTGGTATTCTGGGCACAGGGAATGGGAGCTTTGCCTGTCTGACACTGCTGGGCAGGGAAGGAACCAAAGAGCAGCCACCATCAGATCAACAGTTCCACTAACAATGGGATCCACTTGAACATTTCGTGCCCACACTTTCTGAGGGAGGTCAGCCAGAAGGCTTTCAGAGTATTCCAGGCCTCATCTAAACACATGCTGGTTTTATTTTGTATAGTTTCACCCTCCCCATAATACTGTTTTCAACACAGAACTTTCTCCTCAGTAAAGCTAAGCTGCAGAATTACTCTGCCCAAGTCATTCTGTTTAAACTTTAAAACAAAGCTTTAAAACTGGAATAAGCTCCCAGGGAAGTGGTCATGGCATCAAGAAGCATCTGCTTAGTCATACACTCTTAATTTTAGGTAGTCCTAAGAGGAACAAGGAAATGAGTTCAATGATCCTTCCAACTTGAGATCCACCACGATTCCATGAAAAAACTGTCTTGCTATCCCTTATTTCAAAGGAGCTGAAAGAACCTCACTCAAGTTGTCAAGAAAATAATTTACTGGGAGCCTGCAAAGCCACACCAGAAATGTTTTCATAATGTTATAAGAACAAACCATAATGAAGGGGCTTGCTGAAGGAACTCTCAACTAAATACTTAATTTGGAAGGCTTAAAGGAGTTAATGTTACCTTGAAGTATCAGAATCAGGAAATGGATGTATCAGTATTTTCTGTCCAGGAAGTTTTCATAGAATCTTAGAATTGTTTGGGCTGGAAAGAACCTTCAAGGTCATCCTGTTCCACCCCCTGCCACGGGCAGGGACTTTCCACTAGCCCAGGTTGCTCCAAGCCGTGTCCAAGCTGGCGTTGGACACTTCCAGGGATCCAGGGGCAGCCACAGCTTCTCTGGGCAACCTGTGCCAGGGCCTCCCGACCCTCACAGGGAAGAATTTCTTACTAATCTCTCATCTACACCTCCCCTCTCTCACTTTGAATGCATTCCCCCTTGTCCTGTCAGCAGCAGAGCCTTTGAAGGACCCCGATAACTGGTGGGTCATTTCTGCTAAGTAGGAAAGCTCAGCACAAAAGATATTAATGAAAAAAGAAAAAACACAATTCCCTGTCCCTCACCTTTTGGCATTGTCCAGCAGGATGAGCATGCTGGCTCCCTCGTCATCCTGGAAGCTCTCGTAGTGGTGCCGGTCGGCGTTGCCGATCAGGTAGTCGAAGATGGCCGTGTCGATGATGTCCAGCAGCCGAGGGCCCGAGTCGTAGGGCGAGGTTTTCTTCACAGCGTCGCAGTAGCTTTCATCGTACTCCCACCTGCGGCCAGAGAGAACCCAAACAGCCCTTCCAGGAGCCATCCCTGCACCCCAGCAGGAGTTAGAGCTGCCCTTTGGACACTGAGGAGTGCAGGAAGGAAAGCAAAGCACAAGCGCAGCAGCCCATGTTGCGTAAAGAAGGAAGAGCTGGACAACAGTGTTCCCTTAGCAAATGAGTTCATCCTCAGGAGTAAATCCTGCATTCACATCCCAGCGTGTGGAGCAAGCTGCAGTGCCACTGCAAGGACACACATCATCTTCCTGTGGAAGACAAGGTCAGAGTTTGCCTCCTCAGTGCTCACAACTCAGCAGTGCCTGGGCTGCCTCGTGGCAAGGTTCACTTGCCTCCCTCAGCTTCCAGTGAGGGACCTCAGCACTGTGTCTGTTTGCAGTGCCTGGACCTGCTTCCATCCGTCTGGCTTTCCAGAGACCCTCTTCATTTTTATTCTCTAATGCAAATAATCTCATCATGGTTAGTAAAGAGCCCCTCTGTCCTGAGCAGGGCTTCACCTGTGCTCACTCTCCTTCAGAGTTGTCTCTTTCCTCCCCATTTCCCTTCCAGAGTGTCTCACCTTCTTCTCCACTGACAAGATTTCGAGCTTCCCTCTCATCTCCTCTCCTTCTACAAGTGATGTTGTAACAGGGATGTCATGTCTCAGTTCTCCAAAGCTAGGCTTTTAAATGTTCTCATTTTCTTCTTTACAGCTTTCAAAGCTATTCAACACCACCACCAAAACAGCCAAATCTCTGGTGTATATCCTTTCCATCTGTCAACCTAAATAACAAGTACATCTATAACATCTTCCACGTAAGGACCAAAACAATCCTTCACAAAACAGCAGTGAAATTGGAAATGCCTTAAGCCATCTGTGACTTGGAAACAGAAATGGAGGAAACAAGCTGGAGAGACTTGCTGACATGCTCACAATTGCAGAGGCTCATAAAAGGAGGAAGATCAGAATTTAATTACTAGAAATGCCACGTTCCCCACCTCATCTTCTAATGGTCTGGAGCCTGACCTACCTTATTCCTTCCTCCAGGTATCCTGGAGGGATAGAGGGGCCAAAAACGTGTCTTCTCAATGTTTCTGACAACAGGTCACACATACTCCTCAAATGCTGTGTCTGGTTCCTTCTTTCTTTTGCATCAAGGTCCAACTCACATTCAACTTGCAGCACAAATCCACAAGGCAAAAGTCTCAGACCCTCCTACCTCTTGTGCTGGATAAATTTCTGACACTGCATCCCTCTCTCCCTCAAGTGTTTCTCTTTCTCTCATTTTACTTTAGAGCAATACTTAATCTTCTTGCCACAATTTTTCAGACGGACTATTCTCTCTCTCTCTCCTCATTTTCCATGGAGTCTTTCAAGACAGGCCTTTCTCTGACACTTATTTCTGATCATTTATATTGTATTAGCACAGGCCTTGGAAGGTCAGGGATTTTATCTATTACACTTCCATTAAAAATTACTTACACTAATGTGACTGTATGAATTATGCTCAAAAGGTCAACTCAGGACAGAGAAGAAGCAGTTGGAGCAGGAAAAAAAAATTCTTAACAGTTTTATTTTTCCATAATTACCAGGCACAGAAAAAGGAGAGCATGACACCTAGAACATTTCATTTCCCTGATGTTCTCTCAAAGGCAAATGTGCAGCATGACAAGGTGCAAAGCACCAGAACTTTGCAACCCCATCTGAATGAGGCAAGAGCGACTTTCAATACAGCAAAAATCAAATCAGCACGGGAATCAGGGTAAAACCCCGTGTAAGGAGGCAGTTTATGATGAAAAACAGCCTCTCAATAGCAGAAACACCTCCAAGAATTCAGCCCATTCATTACTGCAATATACCATGTACTGAACACAGTTAATTTTGACCTGCTGGAAAGGAGAAAACATCTGTTGCTCAAAAATCAATCCATGCATTTAATACTCTAAAACAATTCAGTGAGGCCTTTGGATGAGATTCTGAGAACAATCACATCATTGGAAATCAATGGATACTTTAGATCAAGGACTAAAAAATCTCTTTCTAATCTCTTTCTAACTAAAAATCGCTTGTTAATGACAAAGATTTGGAAAAATTTACTAAGCTCAAAAGCAGTTGCTCTGGTCACGGCAAAAACGTCCCCAACCCACGTACTCAGACATGTCCCATCTATTGTACAAGATGGGTAGAGTCACATTTGTCCTTCTCTAGGGATTCTTTAGATGCTGAGCCTGGTCACCAAATATTAATGGTATTGAAAGCAAGGAGCTTTCCAGTGCCTCCCTTCTTAAGCTAAACCACAACTCTGAGAAGAAACTCCCAGGACCATGACATCAGGTGCTACCGCATTTCAGAGGGACAGAGGGCCACGGCACCAACAGAAGGTCCAGTGGCACAAGAGGAGAGTCTTGGTTAGCCCACAGCCAAGATTTTCAGAGCCTGGAGTGCCCCTCCCACGTCCTCCTACCTGGCGAGTTTGCCCTCCCGGTAGGTCCTGCCCCAGGGGTGCCGGTGCTTCTGGAGAGGCCACACGTCCGGCAGCCACAGCGTCACCGAGCCCTCCATGACGTCCCCGTCGGCACAGGCTGGCTCTGTCTCCCGACAGTAGTAGCACTTCCCATAGAAGCAGGTGTTATTGCCTTAAACCCAGAAATAAACTGGTATCAAAAGGGCAGAACTTAATCCGAGGATCCAACCGAAATTCAGGGGCGCGCTGTGGCAGCAGAGCCTTCCCTGCACGAGGATCCCTTCCTAGTCCTTGGGACCTTGACCTGGCAAACCTTGACACTGCTTGTTTTTCACATTTTTCACCTACTTCATGTGTCAGATTTGCCACCTTTTCGAAAAAGCTGACCTAAAAGGGACAAGTTAAAAAGAACACGGCAGAACTCCAATGGATTTGGAGCCCTGAGCCCTGCCACACACCTCAGCTCCTTGAGCAGGGCAGACAGAAACAAGCTGTCACTCTTAGGTGATGCAGGAATGCAGATCTGTCAAAGCTTCATCAGTGCCTTCTGACAGGAGAGGAGCACCAAAACCCTGCAGTTTTCAGTCTGCTAATGCTGATGTATCCTGTAGCATCAAGTAATCCACACAACCTGGATTAATAGTTTTAGTTTAACCTTTTCTGTTTCCCCCTTCTAACCTGCCTTTGCTTGACTCTTGCCAAGTTAAATCCAGTTCCATGTTCACAGATGTTCCTCCAAAATACTCCTCGACTATGTCTCCCTTTGTTGTGACTCCACTTGTTCTCTATCCGTGTTTCCTTTGGCTCTACACCCAATATCCTCCCCAATCCAGGCTCAGCTCACCCAAAGATGTGTTTTTCACTTTGCATCCTTACACTCCCCCACCCCTCACAGCCAGCACTCCTTCAGAGCCCTCCATCCATCCAGGCCTGGCTCTTGTGCTCCCAATGCCCCATCAGACAAATTGAGCACGTCACAAATTATTATTATCAACCACAAAGAGCTGGCAGACCACATCTCTCATTTGTATGGAAAGCCCTGCAAGTCTCACTTTCCATCCAGGGCCTGCAGCAGGTTCAGCAAGAGACAGAATTCTTTTGAGATTGCAGCTGCAGCTCTAGCAAACCTGCACTGGACAGGCATGAATTATCTTTTCTTCAAAACCTCAGAAACTTGGTCCAATTGGGGCTGACAAGAGATCACAACCTTTTTGTCAAATCCACCCATTTATTTGGGTTCTGCTCTGCACAACAGTGAATCCAAGGAATCTAAGGAAAGGCAATGAAAATTTCTGGAGCCAACTTTTCAAGTCAGCATTTCTGCTAGGAAAAAAACAGCTTAGTTATCTTAGCTGAAATTGAAAAAAGTAGAGTCTGCCTGAGGCAGGCACCCATCTGAACGCAAGGAGAGTTTGGGAAGGCTGAGCTCCTCCCATCTCTGAGTTACACATTGTAACTGCAAGTGTGAGACTGCCAGCAGTGCTTGTAGGAATGTACACAGGCACATATTTACCAGCTGTAATGAACAATCATCTCTAGAGTCTTCTGATTAGAAAACAAAACAAACGAAGAAAGAGTAATAATTGGGTATTTTATGAAAGCCTGAAGGAGTTAGGCTGCAGCATAAGTCATTTCTTGGTGCTTAATGACCACCTGGTAGGAGTTCCCATTAGTAATTCCCATTAAGTGCCCTCACAGCATTATTGCTGTAAATAACACAGGGAAGTTGTGACACGTTTGGTTCTAAATGCTCCACAGGCTCTGACGGCACAAACAGCATCAACACCAACTGATGTGTCAGCTCTACAAATTATCCCAACTCGCCACTCTGTTCACGTTAAACACAATTTTATTTTTTTCCCTTTTAGGCCTATCCACCTCTGACAGCAGAGAGAAAATTGTTACTCAAAAAACCCCTAAAACTCCCATCTGAAACAGCAGCATGAGGGAACACGGAGCAGTTACAGAGGGAAAACTACTTGGAGAAAACCAAGTGCTCCTCCCCCGCCAGGGAGGGTTATACAAGCCCTGCCTTGGCAAAGACAGACTTCCCAGCTTCCTGCACCAGAGTTAACTGTTCTGGAGCTGCGTCAGCCTCCCACGGCCCTTTTCCCCCATTCAACCTGTTTTTCTTTACTGGGCTGAGGAATCCATGGAATGCACTCACCCACAGTCATGAAGGTGCCCAGGAGCTGCTCCGTGGCCACCGGTTTGATCTCCGTGCGGAGGTTCACGAACCTGCCAACCACCAGCGGGGCCCGCCGGAATCCCAGGATTCTGATTTGGGGTGGAAAAATACAACAAGAGAGTTTGTGACACAGGCAGCAGTTCAAAATGGAAACGAAACAAACCCACGGTCTCTGTCACAGATGACTGAGACCGAAAAATCAAGTTGGAGCCCTGCAGAACCTCTTCTCCAAGCAAAGTAAGGAAACTCACTTTTTTAAGTGCCTGGATGTTAAACTTGCTTTATAACCCATCAGTGACACTCTTTTATTAAAGCCTTTGCAGCACAGCAAAACAGGATGCACCATGCTCAGAACTCAGACCTCACACCAGAAATACCCATCACGTGTACAGGTTGAAGCAATAAAACCACACGGCCTGCGGGCTGGTCACCTGCAAGGATCATTTATCGTTTGTGGGAACCACTGCCTATTAAAAGTGTTGTGTTTAAGCCCAATTCAATTCCACTCGAAAGCAACCAATCAATGAGCTGTTTTCTGTGGCATGAGGAGAGAGAGGAGGGAAGAGACAAGTGAATGCCTGAAAAGTGCCTGGAAAAACAGAGGTGGGAAGAACAATCACCAAACTCGCAGTTACAGGACGCAGGTTCCAATCCCATGTGTGACCACAAGTGACTTGGGTATTTGTAATGGAGTTTTAAAAGTGCTGAAAGGACTACAAAGATCAGTACAGATTTTAAGTCTCTTCACCTCCAAAGGGCCGACACGGTCTTGTAAGGAGGAGATCGAGACTGTGCTCATTAATTCCAGATGAAACTGCATCTCTAACAGCGTTTCACAACTATCAGCATTATTGTCTGGCATTTTCTGTCCCATTCTTTGTATATCCTGTACTTTGTTTTTCTCCTGTAATTGCACCTCCAGCTCAGGCCCACAAAACCACCTGGGTACCTTGAATACAATTTATATATGAAGAGCTGGTTTTCCTGTAGGAAATTTTATTTATTTAGCCTAGACAATAGGCTTCACTTTTTTGTGTACTGGACATGAACTTAGCACGAACATTTGGTATTCCAGACTCTTCCACAGCATTTGGTTAAGCTCTTTCTTCCCTATAATACTAACTGTAGTGGTTTTAGTGCTCATCCTCCTTTCCAGATTTTTCACAAAAATCTAAAATGTTAGGATCTTGCACAGACCTTTGAAATGAAGTGTCACCGAACAGCTGGTTTTTATTTTTGCCTTCAATGTGCTATGCTGGCAGACTGGAAACAGCTCACACCTGAGGTGCATTCTTCAAGGACCTCTGATGCAGCATTTTCCCAAGATAATAAAGCCAGGTAAGCCAAGAATTCCATACCTATCCAAGTGAAAGGCTGCCACTTCTGCATTGTGCCTGTCGTAGCCAGCGTAGGGTTCTCCTTCCACCACATAATCCCTGGCATATCTGCAATTGAAACAAGTCAAATCAAGAGATTCTGTGCAGAACTTCCATCAGTTTTGCTGTTCAGAGCAACAACTTAATAACGGTGCTACCTTAGAGAGTCTCTGGGTCCCTTTTCCAAATGACTGCTAATGGGAGGGGGGAAAACCATCCATGAGATGAAAGTGTCCAGACTGTTGAAGGGGTAAATAAGGAGGAAAGGTCAGTGATGTCCAGGGGTACCCAGAGCTCGGGAAGCAGTGCCTATCCCAACTAATGAATATTAACCCAACAACACGCCAAGTCCCATCTAAGAACAAAGAGCACAGACCCAGCTACAGAACAGGGGGCTGTTTATACTGGAAAGCAGCAAGTCCAGAGACGATTCTGGGGTTAGTTAGAATGGATTGTACGTTAACATGAAAATACAGTCTGAAATTGTGGCAGAGATGGCAAATGGAATCTTACAGCAGACAGAAAATCAGCAAGTGTGAACCTGAGGACTGGATACACTGGATATAAACAGAGCCTTTATCCTGGTGGAGAAAAGGCAACATGAAGAGCAAGAAACAGAAATGAGGCACCCATTACAACAACTACAGTGTGTTTTGGTGAAGTGGCAGGCTTTTTGCTCCCTTAATCTTTTAACAGATGTTACTTAGTCAAGGCAGACACCAATTTCTGAGTTTCCTCACATCTGAATCAGTCCTAGGTACTGTTTTAGCATTGTGCTTCGGGTGAGTGAGAAATACCACAATCAATACTGAGCAAATGGGTCAAATGCAACACATTTTCCAATAAGCCAAGGCCTATTTTCTCATTTCCATCTACGTATCAAATAGTGTAAAATGGGTTATTTCCAACAGACTTTGGGATCAAGTAGCAAGAACAGTGTAGGAGAAGCCACTGAGCTCTACTTGGATGTTTTAGCCCTGCTCAGGGGAGGTGTGGGTGGCACAACAGTTCATTTCCTCAGTCTGAGCAAATGCTTCAGCTCGTCTGCAAGGCAGCTCAAAAGAGAATTCAGCAGGGCAGGATGGCAGGGGGTTTGTGGGAGGAGGCTCTGACAGATTCCTGCCGAACTGGAGCAACTTATTTCACATACACCACCAGATGTGATGGGAGCAAGCCTTAATCATTAGTAAGTCAGGCTTTGAAATGAGACAGTTCACCCTCAGGACACCCTCGGAGCAGGTCTCTGGTATGTACCTACAGCAGGCTCTGGGAAACATGGTCACTTCTGGAAAGCTGCGGAGCTAAAATTTGTTGGTAAAACCCAACCAAACCCTTTGTTTCCATGCACAGTAGGCAACTGGTTCTTTCTAGGGCAAAAGCAACAAGGGAATTCTGTCTTCCCCAACCAGTAAGTTCCACAGGAACTGTTTAACTCTTTTTACAGTTACTTCAACAAAGCTTTCATGTTTAAAGCCAGTTAAACAGACTCTCTTGCAGTGGCAGAAAAGGACTCTGCCCACAAACCTGGCTGTTCAGCACTCACAAACAGAACATCAGCCTGCCTGTATGGCCAGGGCCATCCTGTCCACACTCCCTCTCCAGAGCTCTCCTAGAGCGCCCTTAGGCACGGGAAGGAGCTCTAAGGTCTCCCTGGAGCCTTCTCTTCTCCAGGGCTGAACATCCCCAGCTCTCTTAGCCTGTCTCCAAGGCAGAGGGGCTCCAGCCCCTGGAGCACCCCCATGGCCTACTCTGGACTCCCTCATTAACAGGACAGAAAACTTAATGCTTGCTCAACCCAAAATCCTTTGGGCAGAGATGTCCTCACTCTGTGATGACAACACTTCCCATTTGCAGTGCACTCCCCTAAAACACACCTCCCTTACTTTTTAACATCTTTCTTTTTTCTCCTTTTCCCCCAAGGTAAACAGTTCAAAAAGCTTTACAGCCACACACAAGCCTCTTTATGAATGCTCAGTCATGTCAGATTTCCTTGTGGATCACTGTAAACAGAGGCTGTACCGAGGAAGTCTCACTACCCACACACTGCTCCTCCAGTACTCAGCACCGGCAGACAGGAAACTCTGACCTACTCAAACCATTTTTACAGCCTTCAAGCAGCTACACCAGACACCCAGATCTAGTTTTTAAGACCACTGTCAACTTGAATTCCTTCCCTGTTCTTGAACTGCACTCTCTCCTGGCAGTGTGACATGACCCTTACTCAGAGTAGGCAAGGCTTGTCTCCACATTGCCACAACCTGCACTTCCACAGTCAGGAAGACTCAGAAACATCAGATGTAACCAACATTCCCCCAGGACTGAACACAGGGATTATTCTTTTAACCTAAAGACAGGTATTTTTGAGCATCAAGACTGTGCAGCCTGAGAGGCAGCTGGCACAGAAACCTACTGTTAGCAGAGCACCAGCAACGCTCCCTCCTGTCTGTCTCTCAAATAACAGGACAGCCTTTCCATTTACAGGAATATTTGTAACTTAAACGTGGAGAAAAGAAAATATAGATATGACCAAAGCAGTTGTCATTAATGCAGTCACTGAAGGCAACATTCACCTCTTGGGTTTGAAGACAACCTTCTGCCCTCCTTCAAGTATCAACAAAGCTTTCAGCTGGGTGCCTTTGTACCCCACGTCGGCTTTGATGATCTTCTTCGTGGTCATGGCGTGCATGACAGCGCCCAGCTCGGGGGTCTCCTCGGGATACACCTCCCGGGGCACCACCCACTGGGCAGCGATCTCCCAGGGGGACTGCAGCGTGTGCTCCAGCCGCGGCTCCAGCTCCACCTGCAGGCTCCCCATCATGCGCTGGAAGGCGCGCTGGTCCTCCCGGTTGGCGGCCGAGGTGTCCAGGTTGTCGATGAGGAAAACCTTGGTGAAGATGAAGATGACGAGCAGGATGGCCAGCAGCACCACCCGCTGCTTCAGCTTCATGGTGCCCTTCCACCCTTCTCCCCTGACCCTGCGCTTCCGAGCGTTCCGGGAAGTCTGCTGGAGATCAGGGTGAGGAAGGGGATGTCAGTTAATGGATTTCATTCCTAACTTGCGTTGTGAAAGAGGTCTCGCCACTGAAGCATCTCCTGGTGCCCCTAAAAATAAGCAGAAAACAAACTTACAGTCCTGCACATCCCACCAAACTCAGGAGCAAGTTTATGCTCGGAACATAAGCCTGCATTTACGGACACTTGTATCCTAAAGCCCAAACATTTCTAGTAAAGCACGTGGGTTCGCTGCATTCCTGCAGCCTTTCCGTGATCTGCATGGAAGGGGAAATTGCTGGATGGCATCTCTGTGCAGCTGAAACCATGGCAGCTGCAGCTACCACGGGCAACATTCTGCAGAGGGCTGTAGTTTCCAATCACACACACACTCTCTTCCACTGGTGTGAGACGCCACGATCACTGGTCACCTAAAGACCTGTCCCTCCAGGAAAGCTCTCAGGTAGATTTTAAGACAGGTGACAGCCAGTGAGAACAGCTGCACAGCCCACTTTCCTGAAGGTGCTTAAGGGCAGAATAGACTTAATTGTTTACCGCCTTTCATTTGCTGTCACTATAAGTTACTCAGATTTTTTCCATTCTTAAAACAAAAAAAAAAAAGAAAAAGAAAAAAAAGAAAAAAAAAGGAAAAAAAAAAGAAAAAAAAGGGGTGGAGCAGGGGATGACATCTTCACTTCCTTGTGGTTGACTACCTTCTGCAGTCAACTGTAAAACCCATAACCACAGAAAACACACAAAGTGCCTGCAATCTCAACACTAAATTAACAAGAAAAAAGCCCCACACCACCAATACTGCTTCAGTGTCAGTTCTCAGCAACCTCACCGGCAACAGTTAAAGCTCCATCTGTGTTTCCACATTTACAGTGGGCTGCATGACATGTCTCCCCCCTCAACAAGCCTTGGCCAGGGCAGGGTTAGCAAGTAAGGACCACAGAAGGCACCACCACCTGTATTTCAGTGACGAGGACAGAAGTTACTTTTCTAATATTGGCTGAACACAGTCAAAACCCAAATGGGAAGGGACACTCAGGAACGTCTCTGAGGAGCACTGGGAGCCTGCAGGGATTTCTCTTTGCATGAGCCATGCTAATCAAACCCTGAACAGCACCCTGAGCTGGAGAGGGCTGATACAGAAAAGCACTCTCGTGAGACTTAACAATAAGAGTGTAAACCAGCCATTATTAATCATGTCACGGGAGAAATGACCTGCACAGGCTGGAGTTCATTTACCAGCACAATCGCAGGCTATGCCTGACAAGGTACACACAGGTCACAGCCACCAGTGCAGGATCAGGTTTGGCTCAGGCTAAGAGTGTTTGCATAAAAGGATGTGCAAACCCACAGATGACTCCACAGCACCTTAACCAAATTCACATTACAGGTCCATGGCAGAACCAGCCAGCCCCGAGGCTCTCCCACCTCCCTGTGCATCCCTGTTACCTTTCACAGACCCAGCTGCAAACCATGTGCTATGGCCCAGGCCAGCCCCACAAAGAACAACCAGCTAAACCACCTCAAACAGCCACCAAGAGGGACGAAATGTCAGATATTCCTGTTTTCAAAATCCCTTTAGTCTGCACAGGGACCAAGCTGAGCACTACCCAAGTTACAGGTGGCACACTCTGATGAGGCAGAACCAGGGCTTTTAGCCCATTTCACCACCCAGACTGTTTTGCCATCATCATCCTGCCTCAGGTGACAGCTCAGTTCAGTTTGGTCCTTTCCAAGTTACACATTTCGCCTCAAATACTTCCTACAAAACCTGCCTGCTGGAGCAGGAGAGGCAATGGAAGTCTCCTCATCACAGAATCTGCCAAGTTAGAAGGGACCCATCAGGATCATCAGGTCCAGCTCCTGACCCTGCACAGGACACCCCAATAATGAGTTAAAACTGACAGGTGAACAACTGGTTTCATGCTGACAGCAACCACCCACACCAATATAGAGGCCCAAGGAAGGGCAGAGTGTGGGGTGGAAGAAGCCTCAGGGATGTTTCAAACTGGGGCTGTGGGCCCCTGTTAACTGCGTAATCCTGATTTTAACCTACTGGAAAATCAGTGCTTGTGCCCATAGGGAAAGGCAACAAATCACGTGTTTATATGGAAATTAAAACGTTATCTACTTCTGTTTTGGCTGTACTTTTCCAAACAGCCCAGCAACCCGAACATCACCACTGCCAGCACGAGAATGAGAGAAGCACAGACAAGAAAGATGCACCTGACCCAAAAGCCCTCATTCCTGCAGATACAGACTCAGCCAGCAGGAGATCCCTACATAACAATATTATTCTTAAATTTAAGCAGGAAAGCCAAGCAGATCCGGCTGTAACTATTCCCTCTCACTGTAACTGCATAATTCACTTCTTCAAAACCAGCAGTTCTGAATCATTCTGAACACTGCTCTTATCAAGATCTGCTTCCATTCATCTTTAAAACCCATTAGAGTTTGTAAGGAGGAAGGCAGAAGAACACAGGTCACTGCAGAACAGTTATGAGAGATGAATGTATGCACACATACATTTTAAGAAAGCCTCACGGCTGGCCAACCAAAGCACAGAGCAGGAATGTTCCACACCTTTGCAGCTCAAGCTGGGCACTCACTTTCCTAGACTGATTTTCCAGAATGCTGAGTTTCTCTAGGGATATTCTTCTTGGGATGGCGGGGGGGGAGAGGGATGAATATAACTAGAGTCACTTAAATTAAAGGTCACTTACTTAGTTTATCTTTTCTGACAGCTTTGAAACTAATTTTGGTTGAAAATTAGGTGAACAGCATTCACAAAGCAAAAATAAATTAAATATTTAACTATTTGCCGGTGAGTTGGCTCTGACTTTGTGCTGCCATCTGAGGACATGAGTCATCGGCTGCTTTCCTCCAACAAACACCACAACACCCCTGAGGTTGCCATGCAATCCATTTCCCAGGCTACCTGCACCGCCTGCACTTGGCTCCTTGGCTGCCAGTGTTACACCGTGTTACAGCTTTTTAATGCTGTAGTCAACCGGCAGGCTTGTATAAGAAATGCTTCTTGTTTCTCACTACCTCTTCAGGGCTATTTCCTGATCAGTTTTGTCCCTCATTACAACCAGGTCTGTACTCTAAGCAAGCACTGAGTCTTCCAGCTCAATAGCCAAATAACAGCATCTCCTCAGTATCACAGCAGGGTCACACAAACACCTGAATTAAAGCACATCTACCTGGCACTAAACACCAACATCACACCACTCGACACCCAGTTCAGAAAACTGCATTAAACGCTTGCCTCTTACAAAAAAATCACAGCCACCACAAGGAAGCCCACAAAGTTAGCAGAGGAATCTCCCAAAACATTTTTTATTGGAGTCACAAGATCAACGCTGTGCCACATATCACAGCCTTATTTTTGTATCTCAAAGCCAGAAAGCTGCTATCTCTAAAATTGCATGTACAATTTGCAAGGATTTTGTTATGCTCCAGATGACAAATCGAGTCTGAGGGCAGGCAAAGGCTTAGTCTGGCAGCACAAGTACACAGAATATCGTAGTTCAAACAGACACTGATCTGAAATAGATATGGTGAAGAACACTCTTAGAATTCCTGTTTAATGCATGCCTTTTCTCTTATATACACTACACCTTTTGGGATTGCTCATCAAAAGGCCTTTAAAAGTTCTCCAGTAAATCCTGGAAAGCCCCTTGAAGAAACAGTGCACACAGCGGTGACATTTTCCTCTTCCCAAAATGTACTTCAGTCTCACTAGATCAATCTTCCTTCCCATCCTCCCCTGCCTGGTCAGCTCCTCGGTGGCTCGTGCCTCCCCTCTCCGTGCAAGCCTTGTTATTCCCGTTTCCACAGGCAGGCTCCCACAGACCTTTCCCCGGATTCCTCAGACTCATTCTGTCACTTCCACTCTCTGTGTGCTGCCTGCCTCGTGTACGAGTTTAGTCATCCAGCGCTCAAGGCTTCCCACATATTTACTTGTCTGCTACTTCTCCTCCTCTTTTCCTGTTAAACCCCTCATTTTATCTACAGGCAAAATCTCCACGACAGGCTGTGCTCAAGCGTCCCGCACGCACAGCTACACCCCTGGCTGGGAGACACGGTGCAGAGAAATAGGAAAGGCCACGAGCGTTTTAACCACTGCATTATCTCTGCCTGCAGCTGTAACAATCAGCAACCGCCTGATCTGTTCTCACACAGCTTTGGAGAGAGATGAAATCGTTTTGTCCATCCATCTGCCTACCTCGCCCCGTTGCATCCCTTAGGAACTCCGGAATCCAGCACCTGCATATTCCTGCCAAATTTGCCAGAGGAATACCTCCAAGAGCTTTACAAACACCACAGGCCAGAGAGAGGGTAGAAGCCTGGAGAAGCCAAGGACAACTGGGTAAACGTCCTTAATCTTTCCCAGCTGGTGGCCACTCAGCAAACAGGAACACCTGACTCATCTGGCTGCACAAACAAGGACGGGGCAGACTGGGATATGGTCAGCACCTGGGAGCAGCCCTGGGGAGGCAGAAGCTCCCAGGCCCCAAGGCTGCTGGGAGCCAGGCAGGAGCTGTTAGGGGAGGATGGAGCAAACAACTCCTCGGGAAGCCAGGCTGCGTGAATTCTCCACTTTCCATCAAGCACAGTTTCCTATGGAAACAAAGTTTATATAATCACACTTTTCACTTAGGTCTACTGGTTAATTCCAAGCACATCTGAGAGGACAGTAGATGTTTTGAGGACGGGGTTTATGTGTTTACTGGGAGCTGGCAGCTGGGGAATGCTGCAGGAAGGGCTGTGGCATTGCCTCAACAGTTGCCTGTTCCCCTTGGCCATCTGGGCAACCAGTGTGTGCACAGCTGGAATGGGCAGGGAGCTGGGAATACCGGGCAGGGAGGGAGGAATTGGAAGCACTGCAAAGTGGAAAGGCACAGGACACAGGAAGGAGGCAAGGGTACTGATACAGAGGGTGCTGGGACCTGGTCAGAAAACATCTGGAACAACCCTCCCTTTATGCCCATCCCAGGTACTGATGTTCTACCTGACCATCACAGGTCAATGAATTGAGATACAAACGTTTTAGAGAGCCTTGTTCCCCTTGGAGATGAAGCCAAAGCAGCGAGAAAATTCTGCAGTTTTCCTTCTCCACTCAACATGCTTATGTTGATTCAGCTCCTAGATAACATGGGCACCAAAAATTTACCCAGGGTCCATGTACTGATCTGACATCCAGCAGCAAGGAGCCCCTCCCTGCTGTAGGATAACACCAATCCATTTCCCCACTGCCGAGGAAAAGCAGCAGCCAGTGAACCAGAGGGCAGAGATCCTGGTGTCAGAACTGAGCTGACAACTTCGTGTGAGGAAACACAATCCACCTCACCCTCCTGAGACTTTGAACCACAAACAGAGCCAAGTCCTGTAGTGACTGTGTAGGTCAGACCTAAGGACACGAGGGGTGCACGGAGTCACTTTCAAACCAAAACAAGGCACAGCATTAATGCCTGCTCTGCAGTAAGTACCAAGGGGGATCTATTCACTGCAAGACTGGAATCTGCATTTTACAGTTTGCTCAGCCCTTAAAGCACCACGGATGTTGCAGGAGCAGGGCCTCAGTGGGCACGAACCAAGGAACTGCAGTGCTTACGCACATCTGTATCCCGAAAGGACCCAAAGAGAGATGCCCTTTAAAAAGGGTTAAACCCACAGCTTTAACAACCCCAGCCAGCATTTCTAGGAACAACAGAAAACTCAGTTTTCACTGCGGGACGATGACCTTTGCCAAGCAGCGAGTGGCACTCGGGGAGAGCCCACGGTGCAGAGCAGGTGCTCGGAGAGGCTTCCCAGCTGTGCGGAGCAATGTCCCCGGCTCAAAGCGAGCATCCAGAAGAGGAACGCGCTGCAGGAGCGAGGATCACAATTCCCACTCGCCAGAGCCGCGTCCGTGCGGCCCCCGCGGAGCTCGGGCAGAGCCGGGGGTGCCCGAGAGCTGACCCGGACCTGCTAGGGAGGGCACCGAGGGGCTGGAGCGGGTCCAGGGAAGGGAACGGAGCTAGGAAAGGGTCTGGAGCAGAAGGAGGGACTGAGGGAGCTGGGGGGCTCAGCCTGCAGAGAAGGAGATTCGGAGGGGACATTCTCGCCCTCTGCAAGCCCCTGACAGGAGGGTGGAGCCGGGGGGGCTCTGCTCCCGGGGAACAAGGGACAGGACACAAGGACAGAGCCTCAGTCTGCCCCGGGGAGGTTCAGGTGGGACATCAGGAAGAACCTCTCCCCTGAAAGCCTGGTCAGACGCTGCAAGGGCTGCCCAGGGAGGCGGCGGAGTCGCCGTCCCCGGAGGTGTTTAAGGAAAGGCTGGACGTGGCACTCAGCGCCACGGTCCGGCTGACAAGGCGGGGGTCGGTCACGGCTCGGGCTGGATGATCCCGGAACAGTTTTCCAACCTCGCTGATCCTGTGACTCCACACCCGCCGGTCCGGCCGCAGGGCCCGCCGGAGCCCCTCGGGGAGCAGCCGCCCCCTTCCCTCCCGCCGCCAGGCGCGGGCGGCCCCGCCGCCCCCCGAGCCCGGCCCGCCGCGGCCCCGCGGCCCGTCCCCCCCGCGCCCGCCCCTCAGGCCCCGCCGCCCCCGCCGCACTCACCGCGCCCGCCGCCCGCCCGCCATGGCCCGGCCGCCGCCGCCGGCCCCCGCCCGCACCACAACATGGTGCCGCCCAGCGCCGCGCGCCCGCCCCACGGCCAATGGGCGCCCGCCCCGCCTGCCGCGCGCCGCCCGCCCGCCAATCAGCCGCCGGCAGGGGGGACGCGGCCGGGCGGCTCCAATAGGAGCGGCGGGGGGGGAGGGGGGGGGGCCAATGGGTCGGCAGCGCCGTTAACCCCGGAGCGGCCGTGCCGGTCCCGCTCCTCGGCTGAGGGTCGGGGGGTTTAGGGGGAAAACAAGGGAATTGGCGTTTATAATACACGTATATCAGATTTACATGGAAAATACTTGGCTCTGGCTGCGCGGAAGCAGAGACTGTGGCAACGGGTCCTGTGACAACACACACACCACTGCCAGAGGCACTTGGCTCCCCTGAAATTGGAATTATAGCATTATGATTAAGAATTATAACCCTATTATACAGTGTTATTTTATATATATATTGTAGTAGTATATACTACATGTTATATAGTATATACTACATGTTATGACACTATGCAGTCCTAAACAATACACCTCCTTTAAAAAATCTCCCATCAATAAATGCTCCGCATCCATAACATCAATAGTTTGCCTGTGCTACGCATCTATAACATCAATAGATTTCTATCTCTCTGCCCAAATGCTATCGCATATAGTGTATTAATTTAAATTTATTTTGCTGCGTTCACACGCTCCCGGTGTAAAACAATGCTCCAGTGCTGATTAAATTTCGCAGGCATCGCTGGAAGTTTGGCAGGGGAGGCGCAGCTGGTGCAGCGCCAGCCGTGCTCGGCAGGAGACACCACCCAGCAGCACTGACATTGCTCCCACCAGCGCCACAGTGGGAAAGGCGGCGGAGCAGGGGCCAGCCGGGCTCGGGTGTTCCAGTCCCACACACAGGCACCACAACTACAGCCCTTACATCCCCTTCCCCCACAGCTCCTGGCTATCCACAACGTTTTCTCCATTGTTTCTGCTCCACTTGCTGGTGGTCCCTTCTCACAGAATCACAGAATCCATTCTGTCAGAAAAGACCTCTGAGATCACTGAGCCCACCAGAATTGACTGCAGTATCTTGGGCTGCTTTAAGACTGAAACAAACGCTGAGTTTGCAGCCCGGTGTGCCTACAGTAGACAATGAATATATTTCTCTCCAGGAATCTTCCCCTGCCCTTGTCCCTTATTTAGACTCGGAATGAAAACTTTTAATGGGACTTTTTAAAAAAACCCTTTGAATAAAATAAATATCATACCTAGTGCTTTCTGACTTCCTGCTCCGAGCTTCCAAGCTTCCAGACATCCACACATGGGATACTGCTCTCGTGCAATGTTACTGCTGCAGGGAAAGATGCTTAAATATATATATTTTAATAACACAGTTTCATTGTTATGGACTGCACCTCTGCTAACTCCTCAGCCCATTAAAGTTTTAAACCTAACTACAATTATGACTTTCATTATTAATCAGCACGTTAATATTTAAGTGCCAAGGAATTGCCTACAACTATAGAAGCATTAAGAGGTGGAAGTGGACAAGTTATTTAGGTTATGGACAAGCCACGGAGATAGAGGATGGCAGAGGGACCAGGAGGAGACAGGGCAGTCACGATGGGCCATCACCTCCTGAAGCTGACAGGCAGAAGAGCTCTGTTAGCCCTTGCCAAGGAGACAGCAGACTCCAGGGAGATCAAGAGAAAGAGCTGATGGGTCTGGGGCTGACTACGAAAATCTGTAGGTCGTGGGAACAAGGACTGTCTCAGGCTGGAGAACAAGGTCTGACTGGGGTAGAACAGCAGCCCAAGGGCCGTCCCAAACCTGGGGCTGGTGTGGGAAGGAGGCCAGAGAGGCTGTTAAATAATTCTATCTGCTCCAGGAAAACCTCTGAGTGCTCAGGAGGAGAAAGCTTTAAATCAACATACACACCGTCACCAGATGCTGCACAGATCTTCCTATTCAAAGAGGTGTGTGATCCTGGCAACAGACTGAGATCAGATTTAAACAACACAAAAAAACCCACTCCTGAGTCAAGGACACCACTCAGACCCAGCAGAGCATGTTAAGCATCCCTTTGCAGAAAGTATCTGTATAAAATAAACCCACGTGTCAATGGAAACAATAAGCTGAAGTTAGAGAAATCATATCAGACAGGCTGATGCCAAGATCAGGTGTCAAGCAGAGACTCCTGGATGGAAACTCTTCAACTAAACAGGTGCCACCCCCAGCTCTCTATTCCTCCCTGCTAGACAGTGGTGAGAAGAACAGGTATCAATGCCTTGAATTCCCTGTGCAGAGGAGTTCTGGGATACTGTGAAACAGGAACGATGAAAGAACATCAGAGAGACGAGACAGAGATGAGGGAAGGACAGGGCAGGTGAGCTGAGGAGCACAAAGAATTCTTTTTACCAGGCTTGGCTGCATCCCATCCCATCCCATCAGCATGGTGGTTAACACAACTTGGTGGCCACCCTCCCCACGCCTTCCTTGTGGTGCAACCTTGAGGCAAGAGGAGGAGCCACAAGGTGATGGTTCAGTGGCAAGATGCCACAAGAAAGTGACTTCAGAGTGGCAAAGGGGTCCCCTCAGCGTATGGTCAAAAAGGCCAGATCATTAGTACTGGGATGGGATGGATGGGATCCAGGCTTTGGACAAGGTGTGAAGCCTGCAGGAGCCTCTCAAACAAACACAAAAAGCAAGGGTGGTACCTGATGACTCAGCCAAGGTGACAAGGTTTGCTGGCACCCAAGGAGCAGACAGGCCAGGCAGGGCTTGCTCCTCTCTCCTGGACCTGTCCAAAGGGAAGGACAGCAACAAACCTCCCTTTCCAGATCCAGCCTGAGATAATACACCCTGCAGCTGCTGGTCCCTGTGGGCAGATGAAGTCATCAGCACTGCTGAGAAGTTCTGCCTCATGATTCCTTAACCGGCTTCAGAGAAACATCAGCAGGGTTTGTGTAGGTGCTCTGAGCTACCTGGGTGATTTTGCCCGAAGCAGATTTGGAAATGCACACCCCAACTGCTCCCCAGACAATGCTGGATACAGGAGCTACAATAAGAAACTACATGTGTCAGTGTTTCAACAGAGCACCACACCCTGAAGCATGAAGTTAAAGCAGTTATGCAAGAGATTAAAAATCCTTTTATATCACTGTCAGGCTTATTTACAAAGTTGTAAGTGTATAATTAAATATTTGGCTTTTTTTTTTTTTCCCTCCAAAGCTGTGTGTAACTGGAAAGACAAAAACATACATTTAACATTTAAACTTCCTTAATTGCTTTTAAATGTCACCGCAAATAAACAGTGTTTATTTGCAGTCTAATTGACGGCAGCACCGAGACATCACCTCTCCACCTGAGCACAGAGGCTGGAAGGGAACAGCAACACACATTTGCATTGCACAAGCTGGTTTTATACTCCCTGCCTCCCCAGCAGCACCTCTGTGTATCTTTGATGGCCCTGTGCCTGCTCCTCCCTGTTTTCCTGCTCGAGAGATGATGAATCCCATCTTCATTCCCTGGTGGAGTGGCCACCAGCTCACAACACACAAAACCTCCTCGTGGAGATGGGGAAGAGTCCTGGTCCCTTGGAAGGAGAAAACAAAAAGCAGTTAAACAAAGTCCAGATGTTTGCTGGGGTCCCATGGAGCTAAACTGGGACTCTCTGCATCCTTCCACCAGAGGCTGTGCCAGGAGAAGATGGAGGACTTGGGGATCATTAACATTTTTAAGTGAAACTGCAAACGTAGATTGGTCATTTGATGAAGCATGGGTGACCAAAGTCAACTTTTGGAAGGTAAAATCCGGTGTCCCTGCCCATGGCAAAGAGGTTGGAACTCGATGATCCTGAAGGGTCCTTTTCCAACCAAAACCATTCTGTGAATAAAAGCAGAGTGCATTGTTCCAAGCCTTGGGAAAAAGAAAGGGGATGAGAGGGGCTGCCTTGCTTGGCAAACAAACTCCACAGAGCCCGATGGTGCCAAGGAAAAGGGGCAAAACCTACAGCACTGAGATCTTCCCTTTCTCACTCAAAATAATTGAAGTGTCAGAGATATTGGATTAAAGCAATTCTCAAGCTTCTCATAACAAGTCAAGGCTGTTCAATGGAGAGGCTGAAACAAGTGACTGTGCTGTGACAACACACCAGCCAAGGCTTTGTGTACCTTCCTTCTTCTCCCTAAATAATTCCAGATATTTGGATTGTAACCAGCTGACCTCAGAGCAAACTGAGGAAGTTGGGCAGAGGCTCTCATGGCTCTTCCTGCCTCTCTCTCAGGCTGTCAGCAGATCACAGGGACGTTTATCTCTGTGGCCTTTATCAGATTCCTGGGGTGAAAGTCCTTCCTTCTTCACGTGAGTCTTGTGAAAGCTCAGTTGTTTTGAGAGAGGTCAGAGCAAGGATCCCAAACACAGCCTTGAGAACTGACCTGGGGAACTTACAAGTAATTTAATCTTGACCCCAGCTTGGCTGCTGACACAACAGCCACAGTTCCAGGGATGGATGAGAATTGCTTCCATGAAAAAGGCTTCTAATTCCTCTCCTGGTGGGACAGGACATCGCTCAAACTTACCCAACCTTTATTTGAAAGGAGCAATCGATGCTGAGTGTCCTCCACAGGTACCAGTTGACCCATACAGAAACCCCCCATGACTGTTTCCCTCCATGGCTGTAGGGAACTGCTGCAGAGTGCAGGGTGCATTTCTCCTTCATTCAGAAGAAGGCTGCAGTGCTGCTCAGGGGCAGTAAATTCAGGAGAAACCCCAAAGGAAATAATCCCCTGTGAACAGCAGTCCTCTGGACCTAAGTCAGCTTGGCAGAGGGGCAGCCTCGTGTTACCCCATCCACAGCTGGCAAAAGTGTGGACTTTGCATTTGGAGCACGACCAGAAGAAGTTTTAGGGGTTTAGGGACAGGGAGAGAGCGCACCCAGCCTTTTTGGGGCTAAGCTGTTCACATATTGAATCTAATCCTATTTCCATAAATGTTTCCGGTCTTGGAAGCTGGACCTGTCCATAACAATCTTTTAAGTGTTTATAAATACTTTTCATCTCAGAGTTTTTTATGAACATGCACACTGGGGTGTGCAGAAATCCCTTCCTTGATCACTGGGATTGGGCTCACACTTGAAAACCAAGCAACTGCTTGGCCAGGTCAGAGCTCCCCGTGCAGCAGCTTTGCAGAGCACATCAAATACTGATCTCAGCAGAGATGAAAGCAACAGAGCTCGAGGGAGGGTTCACATGGCAGGTTAGTGAAGTAAAACCATGCTGCAATTTGGTCACAGCCCCGAAATTACCTATTATTTTGAGAAGTGAGGTGGGATCTTTAAAGCTGTCGATACAGTGGAGCTCAAACTTCTTCCAGGATGGAGGTCATCTCCAAAGATGGATGAGGGTCTAGCACTGAGGCTGATCAACCAACATCATTCCTTTGGTGGGAAAATGATTCCTGAACTGTAAGATTTACTATATCCAGCCTTGCTCAGCCACAGAGATCAACAACTCCAGCCCTAGTGAAATGAGTTTATGTGACAATGCATTTCTGCTGCATATTCTGTCTCAGCTCAGCCCAGTTTGTCTCATTTTTCCCTTCTGCAGACAATGTAAACCTTAGAGAATTGAACACCTTATCACCCTTGGATGAATTTAATTAAACCAAGGAATTCCTGAGGTGAATAGTGCACTTGCAGCACTCGGGGGTTTCAGACAGAGGATGAGAAACGTGAGAGCTCCCAGACTGCCCCCAGCCCCCCTGCAATGCCTGGCTGCACTCAGCTCACCTGGAGCCTCCTCCACAACCACCCTCTCTTCTTTCTGATCTTTAGTCCTGGGATAAAGGAGATCCTGTGCTCAAAGGGGAACTGATCCCTTTTCAACTGGGCTGCTCTCTGCCCACAGTCAGCACAAACACAAGCACAGGAAGGTGTAAGGACACGCTCCCGAGAGCCAGACCATCATCTCAGTGACTCGCAGCAAGAACAAACACTAAGTTGCTGCTCTGAATATTCAAAACACACATTTACCATTAAGCCTTTTAGCTCCTGCATTTTTAAACAACAGTCCAGACTGGAAAGGGAATGATTAGCATCCTGACTTCACCTCAGCACAGAGCAGCTCCCTCCAATGCTTCCAGCTGTGCAGAAGAAAGTCCTTAGGAAAACTCAACCCACTGCAGGCACATTCTTCAGATCTTGTAGAATATTTCTTATCATCCTCTTATTGGCAAATGAGCTTTTGCGGCTCCAGCTACAAGATTAAAAAATAAAAATCCTTTATATCTTTTCTATTAGAAATATTTTTTTTTTTAATCTGACTTAGAAGATGGCAAAACTTACACTGGAAAAAATTGAAGCTTTCTCTAAAAGAGGACAGGAAGGAATATAATTAATAGCCTATAATATCAGGAACAAGGATCAGCAAGCCCTGCAGAAGGTCCGTCCACACGTCTCCACAGGGTGTCAGTGTTATTTCAAATTTGGGTCATTTTTATGCTGGAATCAGACTAATTTTCTCACCACATTATTTTTATGACTCTGCTCCTCAGAGGGCTGCTGCCACCACAGGCTGCTTGTTACAGAGCTCCCCCTTTCCTCCCGTATTTTTCATTCAAATTAAATTAAAACCATCTAATTAAAAGGAAACTTCTTAAAATGGGGAGACAAACACACGGTCATGGTGGTCTGGGGACAAGGGGAGAATTGAGAGGGATCTGCAACGGGGTTGATGTTCACCACTACAAATCTGCTACCAGTTTGCTGGTGGGATTCCCAGTTGCTGCAGGACAATGGCCTTTTAGCAGATGATCCAGAACCCTTTCCCATGCACCTACCCAGGGCTGTACACACCCTTTTCCCTGACAGGTACGTGGCCACCACGAGCATCTCTGGCACGACCCATTTTGTGTTTTTCGGCCTTTTGAGAGCTGGCTCCGAGGCAGAACAAAGCTGTTTAAGTTGCCCCTTGCCAAAAATTATTTTCCAGACACGTTACTAACCTGGCTGTGCTGAAACAAGGTCCCACTGTACTCTGGCAGCTGTGGCAGATGTGTGGTGTGACACACAATATCCCCTCCGGGTGACTGCCCAGGCCAGCTCCAGTTCTTTGCAGGGCTCTGCTGGGATGGCCTCAGTTCCAAAGTTCCCCTTCCCAGCAGCTCTCTTCAAACTTCCAGTGGTCCAGCCTGCCTTCTACAACACTCATGTAACAGCTCCCCTTCTAACCTGTAATTATGAGAGGGTTACTGGAGGCACAGATGGCTGGATGTCCAACGGGGACGATTCCTGGCTCAGGAAGTTTCTGCAGTTACCGACTACTCAGCATTTCAGTCGTCATATTATTCAGAAATGTGCCCCTTCTTATCAGTATTAAGGACATCATCCCAAAGAGCTCCTGCTGAAAGCAATACTGAAGAACGTGCCTGTACGATGACAGACAGCATACTGTGTGCTGGCCTTGCAGAGGACACGTCCTGCCTCAGGTATCAGGCAGCAGTTTGACAAACAGGGGTGTTTTTCAGCAGAACCATCAATTTAAGTTGCCCCTGCCACGCTCCTCGCTATTTATCCTCCCATCCCTCTGCCAGCCCTGCAGTTGTGCCAATACCACAGCAATAAGAAGAACAGCAGAACTGGCTTAAATTAAAAAAAAATCTGGCATCAAAATCAGTCAGTATATATTTAACACAGATTAATTATCCCATCTCATTTACCAACTGACTGCACAGTAGCTGTGCCACCAGGAAGAGTATGGGAGGAGTGGTGGGTGGGAAGGAGGTGTTGGAACTCAAATCAGCACAACAGCGATGTTCAGTCTATGCTCCTGGAGTTTGACTTGCAGTGGAGTAACAAGAAGATGAAAGCCCAGATCTCCAAAAATAGCCAAGGGTCCAATTTTCCATAGAACACAGAATGTTTGGGGTTGGAAGGGACCTTGAAGATCATCTCATTCCAACCCTCTGCCACGGGCAGAGACACCTTCCACTATCCCAGGTTCCTCCAAGCCCCATCCAACCTGGCCTTGGACACTTTTAGGGATGGGGCAGCCACAGCTTCTCTGGGCAACCTGTGCCAGGGCCTGACCATCCTGACAGGGAACATTTTTCTCCTAGATTTCAGGATTTTCATGTTCCTCTTACATAAGCAAAGAAGGGCAGCAAACAGCCCACTCCAGAGCAGGGCAGTGGAGCTGGGGAAGGGTCTGGAGCACAGGTCTGATGAGGAGCGGCTGAGGGAGCTGGGGGGGCTCAGCCTGGGGAAAAGGAGGCTTGGGGGGGGGGACTTTATCACTCTCTACAATTCCCTGAGAGGAGGTTTTAGCCACATGGAGGTAAGGCTCTTTTCCCAGGTAACAAATGACAGGATGAGAGGAAACTGCCTCAAGTTGTGCCAGGGGAGGTTTCGATTGGGTATTAGGAAAAATTTCTTCATGGAAAGGGTTGTCAAGCACTGGAATGGGCTGACCAAGGAAGTAGTGGAATCACCATCCCTGGAAGCATTCAAAAACCCTCTGGATGTGGCACTTGAGGACACAGTTTCGAGCTGAGCATGGTGGCAGTGCTGGGTTGATGATTGGACTTGATGATCTTAGAGGTCTTTTCCAACCTTAACGATTCCATGATCTTAAAACAGCTGGTTCTTTCAGCTTTCCCCTTCCACAGCAGAGCAGGGCACCAGGCAGGGGAGCAGCCTCACAGCAAGCCCAGCTCCAGCTCGAAGCTACCTGGTGGTCTGCAGAACATAAAAATATAAAAATATTTTGGAACAGCTGCACTAGATGATGGCAGAGGAGGAATATTGACTGGGACCGCTGCGGCCGTTCCTTAAGCCTTTAAAAATGAAACATCACGGCAGCTATTTAGTAGGGGGTTCGAAAATTCAAATATTGACAGAAGGAAGTTTTCCAAAGGATGCCAGCAGCTTTTTTGCAGCAGCCCCAGTAGGAGAAACACTGCGGTGTCAGATGTGGGCTGCAGCACAGACCAAACCCACATGCTCCACACAGGCAGGAGAAGTTCCAGCTGAGCAGAGCAGCACTTTGCCCTCCCCGAGATGCTGGGCCGTGCACCGGAGTTGGGGTGGTGAGGGCTGGAGGGTGGAAGGGAGAGGCGAAAATGCCCCGAGGAGCTACAATCACACTTGCCAAATGCTGCGTTTTACTGGAGAAGGGAGAGAGTGACTTCACTTTCTACCTCCCCTTTCCCACTTCCCCCTGCCCCAAACAGACAGAAATTAATTACAGATGGAGGCTAAAAAAAAAAAAAAAAAAAAAAGGGAAAAAAACCCCGCTCTCAACCACAAGGCTTTTTCCTCTGCAGACTTGAGGATGGATGGGGCGACCTGGGAAAACTGGCAGATGGAAAACCCATTACAGATGCGAGGGTTGGAGGAGAAGGCCGAGGGACAATTTGAGAGTTGTAAATTTTAACTTTGGGGGTTTGAACGCATTGCTTAGCAACACCAAACAAATAGGAAACAAGAAGCCTCACGAGAGAGAGACGCTTAAATATTTCAGAATCCCTCTTTGAGGTGAAGACTGCATTACCAGAGACCTGAGGGGCTGCTATTCTCAGCAGCTACAGTCAAGTCAGAAGGAAAATGAGGATTGCAATCTCATTTCCACACAGAGAGGCATTTAACTTATTTTGGTCGAGAAAAAAAGAAATATTTGTTTGTTGCCATTCCTGTTTGGCAGGATTAGAATAGATGGTGCATTCTTAAGTACTTTGCTACCCAGGAAATATTCTCGTAGCATCTTCAAAGACATGCAGGGAAGCTGCTTTACTGGGCATGTATATATTGTGTATGATCATTGCTACCATATGTCTGACCCTCGCTCCATGGTCCCCTGCCTTTTTATGCTGCTGCATAAATCATCTCCTAAAATTCCTGACATCTCAAAGGATGGCAGGGGCCTCCATCTCCAGGGAGAGGAGGAGAAGGGTGAAAAAGAACAGATTGCCTGGAAAAAAACGCTGAATGTTTTACGCTATTTCTTTGCCATGAAGAGAAAAGGGTGAAAGGAAAGAGAGAAAAAAAAAAAATAAACCAAAAAAACCATTACCAGCTTTGGAAGGTCAAATATTACACTTTTGGCCTTTTTTTTTTTTTTTTTGGATCCACTGAAACACTGGAAATGCAACATAAAGCAAAGCACGAAGCTTCTGAACGAGCCTGTGGCCAAAGCCTCACCTTCTGCAGCAAAACACTGGGAACTCATTAAATATTAAAAATATTAAAAAAGTAATTCCCAAGAAACCAAAACTCCTTTCAAAAATTCTGTTCTTCTAAGAATCTGTACAAGAAGCTCTTCAAATACATAGACACACATTTATATAAAAATAAAAAAGTAAAAGCATAAGTAGTTCTTTGCCTTATTTTGGGATATTAGCCCACAGCATTACCTCTGGGATGTGCTGAACTGGTGGGAGCATGCTCTGATCCTCTCCTGAACTGCTGAACATGACATCATCCTGTTGCTTTCATGAAGGAGGTCCACATTAGTGGAGTTCAGAAATAACCCAGACATTCCCACTTGGTTTTGCTGCTTGAGCTCAAAGGGATTCACCAAGACCAGAGTTTGGGGGTTCTTCCTTTTCTTTTTTTTTTTTCCCCCTGTATGAAAAAAAGCCAAGCACACAAGCCCAACCATAAATAACTTGGAATAACTAATGCTTGCAAGAGTTAAAATCAGTAGGAAAGCTCCTTGGCAGCTTAGAACTCCAGGCCAATAAAACAGCTGTTCCTATTGATACACTTAACCCTTCAAAGTCAATGAAAAAAGAAATAAACAAGCATAATGGACAGATCTTGCTTAATCTAATGGCCAGAATTATGGACAGCAAAGAGCACTTAGATAAAAGGCATTTTGACATAGAATCACAGAATGGCTTGGGTTGGAAGGGACCTAAAGATCCCCTCATTCCAACTGCCTTGCCATGGGCAGGGACACCTTCCAGTAGACCAGGCTGCTCAGAGCCCCATCCAACCTGGCCTTGGACACTTCCAGGGATGGGGCAACCTGTGCCAGGGCCTCCCCACCCTCCCAGGCAAGAATTTCTTCCTAATACCCAATCTAAATCTACCCTCTCTCAGTGTGAACCCGTCCCCCCTTGTCCTGTCACACAGAATTCTTCCAAGGAGCGCACTCGGCTTTGCTGTTCAGAAAAGGTGAAGTATCAACACACAGGCCACCTGAAGCTGAAAATGTGACAAGCATCAATACATTTTGAAAACCTTATCAGAGTATTACAGGGCAGGGCTACTTGTAAAGATGAAGCAAGTATTTCCCTACAGATCCTCAGCGGTTTTCTAAGCAGCCCTACATCAGCTGAAACCACCAGGTGTGAATACCACGGACAAGACCCAAAGGTCCAACTCCAACTGTAGTTCATCTCCTGGCATTAATTCAAAGTCCAACTCAATACCATTTTGTGGGTGTGCTACAAAGACAGTGGAAATCAGCAGACCCTGAAGGCCAAGACTGAGCCGTGCCTGTGAGAAAGGTTTTTGGGAAACAGCTTCATCTGGGCCCACAAGAGTCATCTGCGAAAATCTGCTACAGGAAACATTTCAGAGAGATGCTTTTAGCTTGGCCTGGGACAGGAGCAGAGACTACAAGCAGGCTGATGGTGGAAACGCTGCGTGGTGGGTACATGTGCTCATGTTCCCTTTTCCCACATCCCTGTCCAAAGCCCTGCTGCAGGACTGTCAAGACTTCTTCCCCCACTGTCCTTGCATGACTTCTTTTTTTTCCCCCTTTGCACATCTAAAAAGGGAAGGGGCATATTTCCAGTCCCTGAATTAAATACTAGGTTATTAATTCACCCACATATCTCATTTACCAGACCCAGTTTGAGAAAACACCTATTTCAAAAGTCTCTGGGTAGACCAGCACCAGAAGATGACCTTAAACAAGGTCCCAGCAGCTCCCTGAAGTTTTTTACAATCGGCTAAAACTATTTGACAAGGTAGTAAATACATGCCAGAAACTGATGGTCTCATAAAAGCACAGACTCCTCTTTGCTGCTGGTAACACCACTAACCTGGGGTAACACTGGCTGGAAAGTTTTACAAAATTCCCTCAGAGCGCCAGAGGTCCAATTTTCTGGAGTTTAAAAAGACAAGGAAGCCTGGCATCTTACACTGTAAAAAAAAAAAAAGTCTGTATCATTTCCTTTATTCTCCTCTCTCCCAAATTCTCATGGGTCTTCACTGCACAATGCAAGAGAGCAAAAATAAAACACTGGCTCGTTATTCCATCTTGGCCAGTTGCTTTTCCTCGAGATGAAGTTTCTTTTTCTGTCATGTTCCCGTCACAGACACGTTGTGAGGCTGGTCTGCTGCAGCACTGCTGCCCAGCCTGGCTTGCATTGTTTTAGGAAGAGGGGGCTATAGAAAAGGCACAGTGAGAAGTGAGACTCGCTCTGCAGGATTTTTTGCCTGGATAAAGGCAGGAATTCCTACCAAAGCCCACACACTCGTGGCCAGAAGGAGCCAGCGATGTGACACCAGGTCACTCGACGTGGGGAACTCAACAAAGGGGGGAAAAAACCCTCAGAGTGTGTTTGAGTGAAAACAGCCTGCTAAAAGTTGCACCCGAATTAAAGAGCATTATAGTGTGGAAACTGAAACCTCATCAGATATTCCACTGGAAAACAGAAGGAGCAGCTTCTCCAAGCGGGAGACAGCGCTGCTGCTCTTGGAGAGCCAGAGGGAGCGGCAGCCAAGGGGCTGGACAGGCTGAACAAGCCTCACTTTTTTGGATGCTGCTGAAACTCGCCACTGTTGGTGAAACCCTGGCTTTGACATGAGCATCGGGCAGAGGAGACAGATGTGGGGCAGGAGAGATGACGGGGAAAAGGAGCACGCAGAGAGATAGGGAGGGAAAGGGGCTGCTCTGTTCCCAAACCCCTGCCTGCCCCATCCCTCCTGAAAAGGCCCCTTCAGCCAGGCCTATCTGTCAGCCTCCGACCTGCCTTTCAACATTAATGATGCTCTTTGATTTTATTCATTCCTGCTGGAGGTTTTTGCTTAAATATAAACAGCAGAGGATTTCAGCCGGAATAAAAAAAATACAAATAAAAGAAATAAGAAATTCCCCAAACCTCCAGGCACATCTAAAAACCCATTAAAAAAGACACAACAGTACCAGCTTCATACATACCACAGCTGCAGTGATTCGCAGCAAAAGTAAGGGAGGCTGAATGTGCTACTGTTTTGTTCCAAAATGGGGACTTCACACTCAGGTGGGAGACCTCTACAGCAGCGAAACCTGAAGGAGAGAGTGAGAAATTCGGTTATTCCCACCTTTCCCACCTTGATATTTCTGCTCCTCCGTGTGCTGGGCAGGCTGGACACCAGGAGAGCGGGGGCTTTTGTGAGGTCCCCAGGACTGTGGGAAACACAGGCAGCTTTACACGAGGATTTACAACCAGTAGGTAAAGAACAACTCAAAAGGTGTTTTATTACTTGTGATGAGGGACTATCAAAGAAGCCACAGGCTGCTTTGCCAACTGTTTGGTGTTGTTTCTTTAGTTCTTATTGGCAGCGCTCGTGGCTGTTGCTCTGTTTTTCTTTCCCCTCCCACTCTCGCTTATCTTTCATCTTCCAGCTCCAACATTAACTCAGTTGCAATGCGCTGTATGTTGGAAATTAATCCACATGGATGCTGGAGAAATTCAGCTGCTAAAAAAAAAAAAAGAAAAGAAAAGAAAAAAGGCAGCAGCTCCAGCTCCTGAAACACAGAGGCCAGGATGATACACACACAGAGGCCAGGATGATACACACACAGAGGCCAGGATGCTACTCCAGCACTTCACCACAACACTGGTTGTGCAAAGAGAAGATGAGCACTTGAGTTCTACAGGAGTTACCAGCGAAGGCAGAGGCTCTTTTGCACGGATTTTACCATCCCTGTTTTCTGGTTTGAAACACAGCCAAAGGATGAACAGCTTTTCCTTTGGTAAGCACAGGGCTTTGACATGTCCCACCTTGTGATTAGCAGTTATATCTTGGTTTCTTGACTTCTTTCTACAGGAAGAATGGAACCAGATAAACAAACAGTGTGTGGAAATTATACCCATTTACCATATTCTTCTGCTTTTAGCATTTTTCAAACACTGCTTAAAACAGAAGCTCGACCTGCCCCGTGAGAGGCACGTGTACAGTCGCTATGAGAGACAAGGACTGGTCAGATTCAGAAATGTAGATGAATATTGACTGACACTTGTTTGCCCTGGGGGAAAAGAAAGATGCCCAAACCAGGGTAGTTCTGTGTTACAGCATCAATAGAGATGGACTGGCTGCCTGTGTGACTTAAACAAAAAAGAGGAGAGAGGGAGGTGGCGTACCCTGCTAATCTGTAGTGGAGGATTTAGAAGCAAATAACATCTATTAATCTCTTCTAGCTTGTATGTACAGATGTTTCACTTTTTGCAACACTATTTCAAGTTGAACCCAGATGGTGCAAATCAAGCTGTGATGCTCATTAAATGTATTTAAAAAAAAAAAAAAAAAAGCACCTTTATATTCCATCCCTTCAGCATTCCAAGCAGTTCAGCAGGGCAGAGCAGGGATTGCAGATAGATGGCACACTCCATGACGGGAGGAAACAGCCCCAGCACTGGATCTTTGCAAATGGTTCCTCCAGGAAAGACAGACTGCCAGACCAGTGTCCCTCTGAATCAGGAGGCAGTGGTGTATGCAAAATGCACCCAATTTCTAACCTTACAAGAGCTGCAAGTATTGGACCATGTATGCGTATCTTTTTAGAAAAATAAATATATTTTTTTTTCTCGCAATTAAGAGTTACAAAGCATTTTGGATACCAAAACTGAATTTTAAAAGTAATGAGTTTTTTTTTTTTAAAGTTCTACCTTTACCAAGAATCCTCATAAAACTGCCTGTACATCTTTTCCATAGATTACACTGTTTGCAGTGACCATTCAGTTCTACACAGACCACTGTGTAAATGACCAGCTAAAGCCCAAGCAAACATCCATCTCGTTTATCCAATCCCACCAATTACTTTTGTATTTACTCCCATTTATCTTCTGGTTTGCAATGCTTTTTCTTGGTCTTACAACCACACTAACTTGTTACTACGATCTTTTCTACTACCAAATTGTTTAAAAGAAAGACCTATGTTTTTACTACATAAAAAGTGAAAAAAAAAAAAACACCAAACCCAAAAGATAGAAAACTGCAGTCCAGTGTAAATCATGATGGGACACTGATAATAAACGAACCTTTTTCATGCCAGATAAAGCAACAAATTCTCATTTTACACACCAAATAATTTATCCTCAGCCAGAAAGACACTCAGTCAGACATTCAAACAGCCGTCTTTGTACACACAGAGAAGCTGCCAAGTCTCCATACTTGAATGATCTCATAGACTCTGGAAAAAAAAAAAAAAAAAAAAAAAGACAAACAAAACATTTTACCATACTAGCTGAATACCCAGGGGTAGAAAAGGATTGACTTGAAAGCATTTAAGTGGTTTGGGTCCTAGTACAGATCTGCAGACAAATGTGGGGAAACAAAGTCACAGGGAAAAAAACAAACAAACAAACAGAAAAACCAGACCTAAGCAAAACCTCCTTTAAGTTTTCTGGCCTGTGAGAGTGCTGTCAATGAGGAAAAAACACCTATAAATATTTACTGTTTGGAGCACATAATGACAGGACAAGTGATAAATGCCTTCCCACGGACAGAGAGCAGGGTTAGATGGGATATTAGGGAGAAATTCCCCCCTGTGAGGGTGGGCAGGCCCTGGCACAGGTTGCCCAGAGAAGCTGTGGCTGCCCCTGGATCCCTGGAAGTGTCCAAGACCAGGTTGGACGGGGCTTGGAGCACCCTGGGCTGGTGGGAGGTGTCCCTGCCCACGTCAGGGGTTGGAATGAGATGACCTTCAAGATCCCTTCCAACCCCAACCATTCATGAAAATGTTTGCAGCAAATGATAAGCAGAGCTGGAGAGGTTAAAGTGTAGAGGCAGTAAAGTTTCCCTCGGAACCATCAGAAAAAGGTGATCAGTTTTCACCTACGATGCCTTTCCCTTGTGGTGTGAGGCACTGCTGAGTTCGGAGGGGGAGGAGAGCGGGGGACAGCACGGACACAAGCAAACAAGAGGACATTGATCCACGTGCTGCTACCGAGCAGAAATATCCGTGTGCAACCCCGCTGGCTTGGGCTTGGAGCTGAGCACAGATAGTTACTGAGCTCAGCCTGGTTCCCAGCTGTGTACACTGGAGCTGATCCTCCACTTGGGGAAATTTCCACAGCTCCATCGGCCTGTGAACGGTGACAATTTTACCAGCTGGACACCGGCTACGTTCGGGGTTTCCAAAAACACTGCGGTGCCTTTCGTGGTGCCCGTGTGGAACCGGCCCTGCAAGAGCCCTCGAGGTGCATCTCACACAAGACATGGACATGCAGAAGTCTCAGGGTTAAACAGCAGCTGATGGGCCTGGATTTCAACTGCACCAGTTGCTGGGTCAGGATGGGCTCAACTTCCAAATGTGCCACATACTCAAACTAACTCCCACTTGACAAGAGGGATTAAACAGCCCATTATAGCACTGAAAATCATGTCTCTGCAAGTTAAGCCAGGCACCAAATATGCATAACTAACCTTAAAAAAAAACCAACAAAGCACCACACAGGCAGAAGTCACTTGCTTGGCCTCACAGGGTGAATGAACTGCACCACATGGACAAATAGCAGGGAGCGTCATAGAGAGATAATGTGGATTTCCTTGAAGCCTTACATCCTCTTATCTACAATTTAACTTGGTGTCTCCCCATACTGCTTTCCACGGATGAGGAAGGCGACCTCAGATGTGAGACTCAGCTCTGTCTCAGCATCCCTCACCCCATCCAGCCTCTCCAGCATCCCACAACATCCACCCACGCCACCGGACCGGCACCCCACACTGCCGTGTCTTGCGTGTCTGGTGCGTGGGGTACGACCTCAGCTCTGGGTCTGTGTGGGAATGCCCAGCCATGCAGGACCAGCCCACCCCCTGCACACCTGCAGGCTCTCCACGCTCAGCCCACAGCTCTGGAATCTCTCTCTCCAGTCCTCTCTGCATAAATCAAGCAGCAGGGAGGCTCAGAAACATGACGAATGCGTTGGCTGGAATATCTCCTGCTGTAAAGACACAGGAGGAAGGGGGATACTAAACTAACCTTGCCTTGGATGGAAAAGCAGCTGGAATTTAATGTTCTTGGAAGCCAGCCCTGGCTGTTCAGACATGGATCTGCCAGGGAAGTCCCCAGTGGAGGCATTGCTCATTCTCCAAAACTAAAACGTCAAGAGAAAGCACTGGAAATCATTAAGGACTCTGTTCAACGTGTCTTGAACAATCTCAGGCAGGGTAGGAGGAGAAAAAAAAAAGAGCCTCTTGATCACTAACACAACAAATTCTCAGTGTTAATATAAAACAGAGGGGGGAATCATCAGCAATCCAAAGAGGAATTTTGCTTAATTGTGTCAATCTGAAATGATCCATCAAACCAGCCTTAAAAAATGACAAGAAGGAAATGGAAAATAAGAAAAGATAAATAAACAAAAGTGTGCTTGGCCTGGGCTTTCAGGGTCTTCACTATTACAGCCCACCCTGTGCAACTGCCCTGCACCAGCTACAACCTCCGACACATGGCAAAGTGAGCTTGGGCACCAGGAACGCCGAGAGGGGGAGAAAAAGCGTGGCTGGGGTTTAATCCCACAAACCAATTCAGACACAGGCACCAACTGGAAACACAATCCTGGAGCTGGTGCTTCCCAGCCCTTCCAGGGGGAGGGAACATTTTCTGACAGGTGTTCTGCCTCTCCAAGCAGTTGGCTGCAGTGAGGTGCCCTCTAAGTCACAGCGTGGAAATAACACCAGGAATAAAGGGGACTAAGTCAGGCCCACTGAAAGAATTAAAAACCCATTGGCCATTTTTGGAAGAACAAAAGGAAATTTGGTAAGTGGCAGGTTAAACTGGATAGGGTTTTTTTCTTGCTTGATGGCTGAAAGATCTGTAATTCCTAACAAAATCAGGTTCTGTATTTCATGAGTTGGGTAAACTCGTTGCTCAGTGTTGGCTAAACTGGTTGCTTACTGTTGGCTGACCCAACAGGTGCCAGAAAGAATTTCTCTTTTTGTTCTGTGTGATCCAGAAAGCATTTGGCAATCTCTTTTGGATG